GTCTAGTTAAGATATCTTCTTTTACCTCTACAAGCCTTAGTAAACTAGTCTTTGTTCTCCAGTTACAATATCCTAAGTTTGGTATTTTGTTAAGTATAAAACTATAGATGCCAGAACAAGAAACAAGCAGTGTAGTGTTTTAAATGCTCTTAAATATAAAACTTCAAGGCAGGCTCTACTTTATTGGCTACCAGGCTTGATTCCCAAGGCATGAAGCCAAGAGTTAAAGCATTAAAAATCAAAAGCATTGATTTGTTAACAATGTAGTGCCAGCAATAAGGTATTGGGGTAATGGAATGTTAACTTAGTAGACAATAAGTACCTGCAGCTGCCGCAGCACATGGCCATATGGTTTGTTCTATATCTGACCCATCAGTGTGTTCACCCCAAATGCATACCTCACCACCAATAACTGATTTCTGTTGCTTGGAGTTTGTGATATTTTTGAGTGGTTCATTCATATAGAATTCCTGCCAGGTGATGTCCAAGTGGTCCAAGTACCACTTATCCTGGTTGCTCACAATGCACCTTAATCCAGATGCAACCACTTGCTCAGCAACTCCATCAACGAGCCTGATTAAAATCAAAGCACAACTAGAGATCTCAGGAGAGGCATTATGTGAGACATGTATGGGTAGTATGTTTCTACACCATCTAACAATTGAATCCAAAGCAAAGTTTGCATATTGAGTAGAAAATTATAAGTTGTACTTGCTTTGGAAGTATTTAGCAATGAAAATGTCCTAACTATGCAAAGGCCAAAAACAATATAACTATGAAGGTTTCAAATGATATTCACTAGAATTTACCTTCTGGGCAGTGCAGGGAGCGGTCAATAAAGAACCCTTTCCCTTGTACTATCTCATCAGAGGAAAAGAGTACAATAGCTCATAAAACAAGATGCTTAGAGAAATCTATCATAAAGTTGAAATTCCATTTCTACCACCACCAAAATTGATTAGATATGGAGTGTTTAAGACTCCTCATCCTTAAAAACTGGGAAATGGGGAAAATTGGTTGAACCATAGAAAAGTATAGCTTCAAATTGAAGTTTTCATTATTTTTCTTAATTTATGAGCAAAAAGTTAAAATTGCCAAGGCAATAAACAAGGAAAATAGTTGAATTGAAGTTGTCATTATGTTTCTTAATTTATTGACTTCTATGCATGGTGAAGAGAGTATTAAATTTAAGATGCATCAAGACAAGAAACAAGACATGCATATAGAATCATGTGTTACACAGTCCAGATGCAATCAAGAGCAGTATAACAGACCAGTTGTGCACCACAGTTTTCCGGCTCAATTTATTGCCAAAGTTGTTCAATGTCTCCTCCTTGTTATATTTTATAAGTGATTGATAGAATTAAAGATTGAAAAAGTAATTTGTTTGTGGACATAAAAAGGTTTTATTTAGCAAACAATGTAATTGGCTATATAGGACAAAATGCATACCAGTTAACAATTTCATATCCATGGGACAGAGCTATATTCTGAGCTCTCAAGACAAAGTATTGATAAGCTTGGGATTCATTCATGTGGTGCTTCTTTAACCTGGAAATCAGAGTAGTCAAGTAAGTAAGAAGCTTTCTCGATGGACGACAAGTGAAATGCCATCTCTTTGGTACCTGAGCTGATAGATTTACTATAGCAGGCATGGAAGCTGATTTTATGCTGAATAAAATGCATTATCATTGAAAGCAACCGTCAGGGGTATTCAAACAAAATCATATTGTAATTACAACAAATAGCAAAAACAAAAAAAAATAAAAAATAAAAAATAAAAAGCCCCAAATGAGAAAGCCAAGACAGCAGCAAATGGAGACTAGAGAGGGACTAGACAAAACAAAGTGGCCGAAAAGAAACAGGACCGACATTTAGTCATGCAACACCAATTAGTAAACATTTCAGAAAGAAGTGATGACATAATATGATGCCTTTATATATTGATGGACACGCCTATGAAACTATGAAAATGCTATAAAAAAAGCAATACATTAGACAGAGAAGCTTGTTTCTTACACCAGGAAGTCAGACAGTAGAAGTAGCTAGGTAGACTTGCCAATAGTTCCTCTTCCAAGACCAAAAAATTTTTGAAAAGAAAGAAAAGGTGTATATAATTGTGCAATAGTGATTTAACTTCAAAAAAATATAGTAGCATTTCTATACTTAAGGCACATACAAGCAAACGATTTAGAAAAGGAAATGACCGATTGTTGACGATCACTTAAGATTTTTTCAAAACAATTAAACGTCATTAAGTGTGAAAAATATAAAAGCAAAGAGAGTCGCCACTCGTTCAAATTATAAGATGGGACAAGTACCTAAAACGGGTCTGCGTAGAGATCGGGGTTCGGTTAGAAGTGAGGAAGGGCATACGCGCAACTCACAATTCTCCGTTTAAACACGGTTGCATACTTTAACATTGGGGTTTTTAATTCAACTTATTTATTATCTTTATATTTAAGTCTTAATAGGGAAACTTAAAAAAGGATAAACCAAATTGAAACATTTTTTTTTATTTTTGGACTAAAATGGACAAAATAAAAGACATGTATGCACAATAAGCACAAATAAAAATTAAATGGACTGATTTGATTAAAATAAAAATAAAGGACTGATTTGAAAAGGTTTGAAACTTTTGGACTAAAGTGCTTGAACAT